CCTCTCTCCTCTCTCCTCTCTCCTCTCTCTCCTTTTTCTGTTTTCTCTTTCCTTTTTTCTCTTTTCTTTTTTCTGTTTTGTTCTTTCCTCTCTCCTCCGCCCCTCCTATCTGGGCCAGCCGGCGCTGCTGGCTGTGGAGCTGGCATCTTGTGCACGGCCAGTGTAAGGTTCAGCTCTTTTCCCTACCCCGTGGGACCCTCCTGAATGCCTGCACGGTCTCTAAAGGGGTCTGGCCTCACCGATCCCATGGCTGCTGATACTAGAGGAGTCTCCGCAAAGATGCAGGAGCTAAATCCGTGCGTGGCCGGTGGGGCTTTGCAGCCTCTGAGCTCCCTCAGGTACTGGGTGTTGCCATCCCTACCTGAGCCGAGCTCCCAGTGTGGATGGCAACGTGAGATGGATTTTAATTAATGCACTTTGGGCTGGGTCAGGCTCTCAGTGTCCTCCAGGGAGTGGGTTGCACACGACAACGGTCCACACTTCTGGAGGGCTGCTCATCCTCAAGGGGAAGCACGGAGCTTCTGCCGTCAGGCTGGCTGGTGGCTTTTCCAGCCTCACTGCTTTTCCAGGTTTTTCCCTCTCCTACATCCCGTTCTCCTTCCCAAGTTGGCAAAACTCTTCCCTAGGAATCTCCTTGCTGAAAGGTGTTCCTGCGAGTGAAACCAATGCCTGCACATCTCCCTGGGTGATTGGCCATGGAATGTGGCCAAATGGTGGCAGAGGAATGGATTCAACAACTAATTTGTGTTTTTCCCCCTCCCTGTATGTCTTTGACAGGTTTCAGCCAAGACTGCCTTCCTGTTTATCTTACCTCAGTATAACGTTAGTGTGCCTACAGCAGGTAAGAGATACTTCTGCTGCAGACACCCCAAAGGGAGGGTCACTTCGTGGTCTGCCCCAAACCCTCACTCCTGGCTGGCCTGGGCTCACCCTCTACTGATGCACCGTGCTCGGAACCATGCCTGGTAGTGAAGGAGACTTTAAAAAATAAGATATGTGGGGAAAAAGCAAAGTTTGAGTAGCTCAGAGAACGCTGATTGTTTTTGCCAGCCTTTGTGTTGTGAGGGTTGAGAAAAAATGCTTTCCAGGGGGTTTTAGGGCTTCTACTCTGCCTTGTTTTTGCCATGGTCAGGCCTCTCTGTGTGCTCTGCAGGATGAGGATCCTCCTACAAGACTGATCAGGCAAGATCAAATTGCCTGACTGTGTGCCCAGAGTTAGCTCGGTGCCCTGCCCAGGAGCAGCAGGGATTTAGCTCTTTGCTAAGCAGCAGGGGCTGTGCAGGTAATTCCCATCTCGCTTTATTTATTGGGGATGGCACAAGGCGAGGGTGCAGGGATGCACGTGGTGCAACAGCATCCCTGCTCCAGGCAGCTCCAGGTCCCGATGCACGTGGAGAATAATTCAAGGAGGCTCCGAGCTTCTGAGCCTGATGGACCAGAGGACATGCCCCAGCCAGGAGGCAGCTGGAGGCTCGGTCCCTGTTTGTATTTTGGCTGCTAGGAGCTGTCTTCCCAGCTGAGAGCCCCTCTGGGCCTGGCAGCAGTTTGGGTGTGGAGAAAGCAGTTTGGGTAAAGCTCTGGGTTCAAGACAAGCCAAAGGCCTGGGGCACAGAGCCTGGCTTGGTGGCTGAAAACTGCAGTTAATTAGAGGTGTCCAAAGCAAGAGAGGGGCTGCTGGGATTAGTGAAACTAGGATGAAGCAGACAGGTGGAAGGTAAAAGGTCCGCCCTTAAAAATCTTTGAATGGTTCAAGAAATTATCCGGCTTCCAGAGTAAATTGTGGTTTGCACTCCGCCGTGGCACAGTCCAGAAAACTTCTGCTGTCTTTGTGCCTCCCTACTACCAGAGATCTCCGGGGGGGTACATACAGAACCAGGTATTGGGGTATCAATATCAGCATGAGCTGGCTGAGGCCATGGGGAGAAAGACCTTGGTGCATTGCTGGGGGAAGGGTTATTGCTCACCTGATTTTTTCCCAAGGCTGTTTCACATCCCTCGCAACAAGGATGCTGTTGCCTGTCATTCGGCAGATCTCGCTCTCATCTCCCTTGCTCAGCACACACAGAGCTTCTGAAATGCCCTGGAGAGAGGAGGCAGAGCAGTTGCACATGTACATATTATTATTTTCTTTAGACTTGCAAGTCTGTCTTTTATCTTTACGCTGGTGTCCTGGTTGGAGCTGGCCAGCCCAGCCCTAACCCCTGACAGCTGGGTTATGAGCACTGTGGCACCAGCAAGGATTTTGCCTCTTGATTTACACAGCACCCAGCCGGAGGGATGCTAAGGACCAGGTGTTTTCACATCCTTACACCAGGCATTTTCATAAATCCTATTCAAATCTTCTTCACGTAGCTCAAATCTTAGAAATCTGGACCGAAGCTTTGTTCGAGGGTAAACAGGGCTGGTGACAGCCAAGTGGCTTCCCAGCATTAGTATTAGAAGATGATGAGGATCAGGGTAAGGGAGAGCAGCAGCTGGGGCTTAGGCTGAGCTTCACATCGCGATGATTTCTGCAATGTGTCGCAAGGACGGCAGCTTTCCCAAATCTGCCTCTTCCCCATCAGCTGCAGGGCTGCAAATAGTTGCCTAAATGCAGACATCTGGGGTATTTTGGGTGCTGCTGGGGCTCCTGTTGCTCCAGAAGATCAGGGCATCCCGTGGGTCCTGTTTCGGAGCCGCCAGCCTCGTGCCGCAATCTCAGATCTCTTAATAGCACAAGGCATCTGTATTTAGGAAGCTGAATCCTACTCCAGCAGCTTTCAGGGGTGAGTGGGAGAGACTGGGTGTTGGATGATAACTGAGGGGCTGGAATCACAGAATCACAGAATTGTTGTTGAGGCTGGAAAAGACCTCTGAGGTCATCAAGTCCAGCCTATGACTCAACAGCATTGCAATGGCTGGAACATGGCACTAAGCGGCCCATCCCAGATTTTTTTAAACCCCTCCAGGGACGGTGACTCCACCACTTCCCTGGGCAGTGCATCCCAGTGCCTGAGCACCCTTTCTTGATCTTGTTGAACTTCATTCCATTGGCCTCAGCCCATCGACCCAGCCTGTCCAGGTCCCTCTGCAGCGCCTTCCTAGCCTCTGGCAGATCAACACTCCCCCCCAGCTTGGTGTCATCTGCGAACTTACTACCCATCCCAAGCCCTAATGCTCCCAACAGCGTGTCCCAAAGGGCGAGAGCAAGCTCTGCCTGTCCATCACCTGCTTCTGCCTCTGTGTCTTCATCCCTCCAAGCTGATAAATTCCTGTCTCCGCAGCCTGGCTATCCTCAGTTTCTCACCTCTAGCAGGAGAAGTTTCAAGTTTCACTTCCCTTGAGGTGTGTAACTGCTAGAGGGGAAACCATCCACCTTCTGCTGATGACCTGACTCAGGCTAGAGCCCTTTTTCCCAGACCTGCAGCACCTGGCACAGTCGTGACCTCTCTCTGCCTCAACATCTCCAACAGCCCCATCCAAGCCATGTGTTGAAAATAGGCCCCCTCACACACATTAACCCATAAGCCCTTACCTGGAAATTGTTTGGTTCATGGAGATTTGACCCACTGTTTGGTTTCTTTGCAGATGGGGAGCTGGTCCACTATCACTATGGGCTGAAGGATCTGGTCACCATCCTCTTCTACATCTTCATTGCCATCATCCTGCATGCAGTGGTGCAGGAATATGCCCTGGACGTGAGTGCTGTTCGAGTCACCAAAATATCTTGAGTACCCTGGGGGGTAATGTGGTCCTGCTGCAAAATAACTCTGGTCTGGAGGTTGGGATGGTGATGAGTGAGCCTTCATCTCTGGGGGCTGCTTGGAACGGGGAAGAGGAGGAGGAGGGAGTTCTGTCAGCAAACTGAGAGAGTTGGGGCTGTTCAGTCTGCCGAAAAGAAGGCTCCGAGGAGACTAATTGTGGCTTCCAGTATCACAACGGGGCTACAAGAAAGCTGGGGAGGGGCTTTTTAGGATGTTGGGTAGTGACAGGATGAGAGGGAATGGATTGAAGCTGGAGATGGGTCGGTTCAGGTTGGACGTGAGGAAGAAGTTCTTCCCCATGAGGGTGGGGAGACCCTGGCACAGGTTGCCCAGAGAGGGGGTGGCAGCCCCATCCCTGGGAGTTTTTCAGGCCAGGCTGGATGGGGCTCTGGGCAGCCTGATCTAGTGGGGGATGTCTTTGCCCATGGCAGGGGGTTGGAACTGGATGATCTTTGAGGTCCCTTCCAACCCTGACAATTCTGTGATTCTGTTGACTCAGTGGCTGCTGTTCTCTTATTCCTTTTCTCTCCTTCTCCTTTCCAGAAAATCAACAGGCGTCTTCATCTCTCCAAGGTCAAACACAGCAAGTTCAATGAATCGGGACAGCTGGTTGCCTTCCATCTCACCTCCATGATTTGGTGCTTGTACGTCGTGGTGACGGTAAGACACAGACCTTGGCTGGGCTTTGGGTTCCTCGGGGTGGGATTTGGGATTTCTGGAGTGCAAAACCTCTACGGGAGCCGAGAGTCCCCAGCCAGCCCCTGAGCCAAGACAGGCACTTCTCAGCAAATTTAGTTTTCAAGTATGATAGATCTTTTCAACCACTGAGCGAGGGCACTCTGGGGAGATCCTTCTCCTGCTTCATGCAAGGCACAAGCAAATGGGTTGTGAAAACTTTTTGGGACTGGACCCCAGAAATTCTGCCTGGTCCTTTCATCTCCATCCACTGCTCCTGAACCTGTTGTCTTTCTCAGCCTTATTTTCCTCCTGATTTGAGATCGGTGCCTTGGAGGTTTTGGATGCCCTTTGCAGGGTCGTGGGGCTAAAGGGTAGATGCTTGTGATCCTTCTCTTTCTGGTCCCTCTCTTGGCAAGCTGGTGGTGAGGGGAATGCTGAGAGTATTTGGTTGTGTTAGGGATGGTTGAAACATCAAACCCAAAATTGCCAGGAGAAAAATTTAGTGGAAATGTTTAACTTTTGTGGGAAGGGAGGAGGATAGAACAGGCACCAGTGGAGAGATACAGCTATTTTGGCAGTGTGGTGTGATGATGTTTTGCCACTGGTGGCTGTTAGGGTCCAACTGTGGTCCCCAGTGGTGCTGGGGATGGATGCGTGGGGGCAGGTCCCCTCCTCACTGCTTGGGGAATCCTGCCAGCCCCCCTTAGAGTGCCACTACCTCCCTCCAGGACAGCATTTCTAAGCATCTGCTGGCACTGTCACAGGACTCTGGGAAGGGAACCTTTGGTAAAACAGTGGATGCAGCTGGTTTTGGGCCTCCCTCACCCAGCACTAGATCAATCCCTCCCCAGCTGCTGGGCTGTAGCCTCCTGTGCCAGCCCACCTTAGAATCATAGAAACAGAACTATAGAACGGTTTTGTCTGGAAGAGACTTTCAAGATTATCAAGTCCAACCTTTTCCTAGCCCTATCAACACCACTAAACCATGTCCTGCAATGCAACATCCACCCATCTCTTAAACACCTCCACGGGTGGTAATTCAACCCCCTCCCTGGGCAGCCTGTTCCAATGGCTGACAACCCTTTCAGTAAAGAAATTCTTCCTAATATCCAACCTGAACCTCCCCTGGTGCAACTTAGAATCACAGAATCATAGAATTGTCAGGGTTGGAAGGGACCTCAAAGATCATCCATTTCCAACCCCCTGCCATGGGCAGGGACATCCCCCACTAGATCAGGCTGCCCAGAGCCCCATCCAGCCTGGCCTGAAAAACTCCCAGGGATGGGGCTGCCACCCCCTCTCTGGGCAACCTGTGCCAGGGTCTCCCCACCCTCATGGGGAAGAACTTCTTCCTCACGTCCCATCTGAACCGACCCATCTCCAGCTTCAATCCATTCCCTCTAGTCCTGTCACTGCCCGACATCCTAACAAGCCCCTCCCCAGCTTTCTTGTAGACCATTTCCCCTCATCCTATCACTCTCCACTAGGGAGAACAGACCAACTCCTGCCTCTCTACAACCTCCTGTCAGGTAGTTGTAGGGAGCAATGAGGTCTCCCCTCAGTCTCCTCTTCTCCAGGCTAAACAGCCCCAGATCCCTCAACCATTCCTCACAGGACGTATGTTCCAATTCCTTTCCCAGCTTGGCAGCCACCTCTGTACCTCTCCAGCACCTCAATGTCCCTCTTGGAGTGAGGGGCCCAAAACTGGACGCAGAACTCCACGTGTGGCCTCACCAAAGCTGAGTGCGGGGTCAGGATCACCTCCCTGCTCCTGCTGGCAATGCTATTGCCCTGATGTGCTCCCCAAGTGCCTCACGTGCACAAAGCAGGTCTCCCTTTGAAGTGCTTTGCACCTTCCCTGGGTTCCCCCAACTGAAAATAAAGGGGCTTAGGGCAGACAGGGCATGGCCGATGGTGACAAGTAGGTGCTGGGCAGGATGAATTTCCCACACCAACATCTCTGCAAAGCCCAGTGCAGCAGCCCTTTGGCAGGAGCTGTGCGAGCACGGGATGGGAAGGGAGCCCCATCCTGTAATCTGCCCTGCGAGCATAAGGGAAGAGGCTGTAGACAGGTGGAAAATTAAACTTAGGCATTGCATATTAAGTTATTTTCATAAGCGTTTTCTCTTCCTTTTTCTCTTCAGAAGTACTTCTTTTTCCTTAAGTGATACTCAGGTTGGAAATGCTGGTGGGGAAGAAGCCCCCCAGGCCATGCACACCGTTGCTCGTAGCCTTACTCCCACACCTCTAGAGCATCCTTCTTGCATTGCCCAAACCCCAAAGCATCCTAATCCTGAACTTGGGGCCCTCTGTGCAACTGAGTAGCCTTTGACCCCCAAACACCAGAGCATCACGAAATTTGAGCAAGGTTCGAGAGACTAACGAAACGTGGCTGAGCTTTGGAGTGCTGAGCCCTGGCTTGTGCAGAATTTTTACTGAAAAAGGACTCTGGTGTTGTCCCCAGTTCCTCGTTTTGCTGTAGCGTCAGCCCGCCCCGTCATCACCACGTGCCGCCTGTTTCTTTTGCTGCAAGCTTGCATCTTTTCTCATTTTTTCTGTTTTCTTTTTTTTTTTTCAGGAAGGATACTTATCAAACCCCCGGAGCTTGTGGGAAAACTACCCGCATGTTTATCTTCCGTAAGCACTCGCAAGAGCATTATGTTCTCGGGCTGACCACATCCTTCCTCTATACGGTTTTCCCTGAGGCTGGGAGCGGGGTGCTGACGGCGCGGTGCCCTTTGCATGCACCCTGCTGCAAGGACACCGCAGGGAGATCCCAGGGGATGGAGGGTATCTCGTTTTTGGCCCCAGGGAGGGTCTTCCCAGAGGGTTTCCTCCATGAGGAAGGTCCTGTGGGCTTGGTTACTCATCCTGGCTGCTTCCTGCCTGCATCACCTTGGGCAAACCGCTTTGGTGTTCATTTCTCGTGGTCAAAAAGAAGTGGGGAATAATCCTCCCTTTGTTGAGAGCGTGGAGACCACAGCACAAGCATCTGAGTAAACTCTGGGCACAGCTAGCTTGGCTCAACATGTAATTTCAGCCCAGAAATGATGCCTTCTAAGTCCCGTGGCTTCAGAACGGTGGAGGGATTGCCCAGTGAGGTGTGGCCAGATGCCTT